TCCCATTATGAACTCCCATTACCGAACTCCTATAACCAAACTACCATACTTTCCACTTAACATCAGGTGGAGTGGAGTCATTTGCCTGTCAGGTATAAAAAAAAAATAAAAAAAAAATTAAAAAATTACTGAACTCCCATTACCGTATCCCGCTATGGAACCCCCATTACGCAACTCCCACTAAGCAACTACTATTAAGGAACTCCCATTAAGGAACTCCCATTAAAGAGCTACCATTAACAAATTACATTATTTTTCAAACTTTGCGATGTACATTACAATACAAAAAGAGAGGCGTAAATGTTACTATTAACATTGGAGATTAATAATACAATACGTACTTATCAATGCACTGGCAAGAGACAGATAATCGTTTAGAAGATGTTTGATCTACATTTTTCTTCAGGAGATTGGAATCACTGTTCTTTGCGTATAAGTTACTTGTTGATGCGTGTCTGTAACGTACAAAACACTTGTTTAAGTCAATGAATTATAAAACACGATAAGCCGAGAAGTAGCGAAGCCCTGTAAATAAGAGAAGACAATAAATAAAAGTATAATTGTGAGTTCACTCGATTAATGTTTTCGAATAGTATACGAAGTTTCACGTAAAACCTACAATCAGGCTTCTGGGCCCACGAGTCGGCATGTACCTATGACTTCATGGCTGTTTAGTAGTGACACCTTTCGGTAACGATACGTACGATAACGATTACGATCGTAACAGTTCACAACCCTGGAAATATGTATGAAATCCTGTTTGTTCTAGTAGTCGTAAACACATTCGATATTGGCGTTCCTACAACACCACCCAACGACTATCTTAGCTGTAGGCTGTAGGACGGAGCAGACTTTTACTAGAGTGGCGGCTGTACTGTAGTACGCCTTATGCCAAATAGACGGACAACCTTTAGAAGGTGGCTGGCAGCGGCTGGATGCGGACGGCACAGGACCGCGAGTGATGGCGTGCTCAGGAGAAGGCTTATGTTCAGCAGAGGACTCGTGTAAGCCAATGATGTTCCTACAAGATTTGATCTTAGGTATAATCATTCTCTTAACAGTCTGGACTTGATTTAGACAGATTTTTCAAAGCCACAACGCAAGCCCGATTTGGGATTTCAGCATGCTGATTTTGATCCAATAGGAATCGATCCGATCGGGTAGCCCATCCGAGTCTCGAAACCAGATGGGTTTCTGAGCGAGAAGATGAACCTGATTCCTATTATATCTTTCTAATTTGTGAGTTAAATAAACTATTGTTCCGATTTGAAATGTCAATTTTCCGATCGGCCGGTCGCAATTATGCGCCTCGACTCGGAAGAGACGCAGTATCCGAGCGAGAGAGGCAATCAAACTCAAGCTGCAGGTCTTGAGCTGAATTTATTCATAAATATAAAACAGGTACACATGACGATTAGTGGAGTTCTTGTTTATGAATGCTTAATAAGAAGAAAGGGTTTAGCGCTAAAACAGAATATTTCTTTTTTCTTCAATGATTAAAAACCGACATATAAATATGTCAAAACAGAACTATCATTGATTACATTCTAGCGTATTGCATGATGTTTCACCAGACTAGTCGATAGGTGGCGTTGTTATTAATTAACAGGCAATCATAGTTCCACAATCATTCGTCAGGTGGCGCTGCTGTAACGATATGATGCGTCAATTAAATATCGAGCTCTTAGGCGATTGCTACGCATTGGAAATAAAACTATTTTTTTCCTATTTGTTTTTTCCAATAAACCAGTTTTCGGGTTCTTTACAAGTCCTATGATGAGATGGTAAAGTCATCAAAATGTATAATACAATGCAAACCACTCTATTCATAACTATACTTACAAATTTTTGGGGGTTGATGTTGCTCGCTTCCGTAGGTTTACCCTTGAGACCCTACAAGTGACCCCTGGGTGGTGCTAAAGAGCAATAACTACTGGTGGTAGGCTTCGGCCGTGGCTAGTCACCACCCTCCCGACGCAGTCGAGTCGCCAAATGGTTTTTACCGTGTTCCGACTCGTGTTCGGGAGTTGCCATTTGGAGGTCGGGTCTGAACAGTTGCATTGCGTCTGACGGCGAGTTGTAGCTGCTTGTACTGCCACACTGAGCACTCGGTTCTGGAGGCTAGCGGGATCCGAAGCACGGTGCACCGCTGGCCGACCGTGGGAAGTTGGGGGCCCAAGTAGCGGGAAAGCCACCCGTGAAAGGCTGCCCCGCCACCCAACGAAAAATCCCGGAATGCTCCACCTTGCCGGTTGGCGACCGGAAGGGAGGACCAGGTGGCCATCTCCGGGGGGGTTCGGGCGTCCCCGCGGTCTCCAAGCCGATTGTAACCTCGTGTGGCAGTATGAGTCTGCTGCTTGGTTGAACACGACGCAGTGCCTCGTTCAACTGCCTTCCTCCTGCCTATTCACTTCTCCAAATCCAAAAATGAAAAACTATAAAAATGGAAAAAAGTATACACAGCGGTTGCACGTCCTCCCACTAAAAGTGCACCTCACTAACATCCGAGGTCTGCACTCAAATCTCGATTCGGTCCACTACCACCTTGAAACCGACAAACCGCAGCTGCTGTTCCTCACAGAGACGCAGATCAGATGTCCGACTGACGCAGCGTACCTCAGCTACCCCGGGTATACTCTGGAGCACAGGTTCGTACCTCGTGCCGGAGTCTGTGTGTACGTTCGCGATGACATCTGTGTCAAGCGTCTCAAGAACCTTGAGGCACCGAGTTTTTCAATTTTGTGGCTTCTGGTTGACACAGGAGTTACACAAATAGTGTACTGCTGTGTTTACCGATCGCACAGTGGAGATCAGGAGACGACCAAGCTGTTCCAATATCTAAGTGAGACGTCTGATGAGATTCAGCATAGGTACCCAGCGGCGCAACTAGTCATTCTGGGGGACTTTAATGCACACCATCAAGAATGGTTGTTCCCATACCAGAAGACCGATCACGCTGGGAGAGAGACGCGTAAACTTGCGTTAACGCTAAGCTTATCCCAGCTTGTCAGTGGCGCCACTAGGATACCAGATGTTGAATCTCATACGGCTAATTGCTTGGACCTTCTGCTGACAACTGATCCGGACCGATACTCTGTGGTTGTGGAGGCCCCACTGGGTACTTCCGACCATTGTCTGGTGAAAACTGTATCCGTATACTCCCCACCCGATCAGGGCCCTAGTGGTATGAGACGGGTGTGGCGATACAAGTTAGCAGATTGGGACGAAATGCGCCATTTCTTTGCGTCATATCTCTGGCAGGCGTGCTTTACTTCAGGAGACTCGTCGAGCTGTGCTGATGCTGTAGTCGAGGTCTTGCGTTTGGGTATGGAGTATTACATTCCATACTCTGATGTACCCAATGGACCCCAAGCTCGTCCATGGTTTAACGCTAATTGTAGTTGTGCTGAAGCACGTAAACAGTCCGCGTACCAAGCTTGGGCAGATGCTCGACTACGCAAAACTCCGAGTACTCAGAACATGAAGAAAGCTTTTAATAAGGCCGCCAAGAAGTGCAAAAGCATGTTACGTAGGGCCAAGTTCGACCATGTGCGCCGCATAGGAGCCAAGCTTGCCTCTTATCCAGCAGGCAGCAAATCCTTTTGGTCCCTGGCCAAAGCGGTCGAATCGAACTTTTGTCGCCCATCTTTGCCACCTCTGCTGAGGCCGGATGGCTCGCTGGCTCATACTGCGGAAGAGAAGGCGAATCTCTTTGCCTCACTCTTTGCAGAAAATTCGCGTGCACTATGGCGCCAGTTCGCATACGCCAAAAAGAGGTACTTAGAACTCTGCGAAATCTAGACGTGAATAAAGCTAGCGGGCCAGATGGAATTCCAGCAATAGTCCTTCGTAACTGTGCACCTGAGTTGTCTCCTGTTCTCACACGCCTGTACCGCCTCTCACTTGAGACTGGTGTAGTTCCCAGATCGTGGAAGCTTGCAAACGTGCAACCTGTACCAAAAAAGGGAAGCAGAGCTGACCCTGTCAACTATAGACCTATCTCAGTCACTTCCATACTCTGCAAGACTATGGAACGTGTACTCAACAACCGTCTCCTATCGTACCTTGAAGACAACGATCTCCTCAGTGATCGCCAGTACGGATTCCGACGAGGGCGATCTACTGGGGATCTTCTTGTGTATGCCTGTCACATATGGAGCGAGGCTATAGAAAAGCAAGGCGAAGCACTTGCAGTGTCTTTGGACATTTCTAAAGCCTTTGACAGGGTCTGGCACGCAAGCCTTTTAAGCAAGCTTCCCTCTTATGGGCTTCCCACTGACCTTTGCAATTGGATCTCGGATTTCTTGAGCGAACGTTCGATTCGAGTGGTCTTAGAAGGCTACTCTTCCGAACATATGGCGATAGATGCCGGAGTTCCTCAGGGTTCCGTACTGTCTGCAACTCTCTTTCTGCTGCATATCAATGATATGTTAATTCCAGGTACCTTTGCGTATGCTGATGACAGCACAGTTGTAGATAGGTACTTGACCAATGCAAGGGTCAGTGGAGAGGAAATCCAGTCTTGTCGAGAGTCCATGGTTAGCCGTTTAGATTTGACACTCCAGGCAGTCTCCGATTGGGGCAATGCCAATCTTGTCAAATTTAACGCTACCAAAACGCAGGCGTGTCTATTCTCCACAAAACGGAGTCCCTTTGAGCTGACTCCGACTTTTCGTGATATATCCATACCGATAGCCGATTGTCTCCAGCTACTTGGAATGGACCTGTCGTCCAATTTGAACTTCGGCAGATACATTGAATCCACGGCCAAAAATGCAGCAAGGAAGCTTGGGATCCTTTCCAGGGTGAGGCGGTACTTTACACCGGGACAGTTGCTCCAGCTGTACCAGGCACAAGTCCGATCGTGCATGGAGTACTGCTGCCACCTTTGGGATGGCTCTGCGACATATCAACTGGCCACTTTGGATTCAATTGACAACCGTGCCAAGAGACTTATAGGTGACTCGGAATTAGTGGAGGCGAAGCTGCAGAGCCTTGAACACCGCCGTAAAGTTGCCTGCTTATCGGTATTTTACAGGATATATCACGGAGAGTGTGCGATGGAATTACATGATTTAATTCCGCCTTCCCCTTTCCATCACCGGGGGACTAGGCGTAGGCTTGGGTTCCACCCCTATGTTGTGGATATTCCAAAGATTCGCACGAAGCGTTACGCTTCCACATTTATATGGAGAACGGCTATGGAGTGGAATTCCCTGCCTGCAGACTTGTTCCCTGAACGTTATAACTTGGACCTTTTCAAGGCGAGAGTGAATAGGCATTATTTAGGTGTGCATGCTCCATCGTCGACCTCATCGTCACTTTCCATCAGGTGAGATGGAGGTCAAATGCGCACCTATATTTTATAAAAAAAAAAAAAAAAAAAAAAAAAAAGTTATCAATTTAAATAACTTTTTCTTTTAATTTGCAAAAGAATACCATTTTTAGTAGCAGTAGAATTCCTTGTGAAAGAGTTCGTCCAGAAGTACTGCCACCTTACCTATTTAAAGCAGTAAAACGCCAAGCAGTAAAGCATGACTGCGTTTCGATTTTGAAGGGTAAGGGTGCATTACAGGCACATGGTACTTTTCAACTTATGCCTCAGGGCGACAGGCGTAGGTGTAGTGTCCTTTAGATCTTTGCGATTTAAAGCTCTGCAACTGTTATGCACAGGTATGTCGCTTACCACCAGACTTGTTCGTCCCGTCACTTGGAGTAATAAAAAAAATCATTGATGCTACATAATAATTAATTAATTATCCCAAATTAAATGTTGTCTAATTTAAGCGTATAGGTAATATGATTTGCATGTTATTAGTTAATTATTTTTATGTTTATAATTTAATCATAATATTCACTTGTATAATTATTTTATATTTGTTCGTATAATTAGTCTTAAGACATTCATTTGTGCAATAAGTTATTCAATAAACAATTTTATTATTATTTTATTTATAAGTCTTGGAAAAAGTTTTTTTTTACTTCTTCTTAAGGTGTCTCTCTAACTAGTGAAGGTTGGCAGTCAGCTCAGCATATTTATCTTTATTTCTGGCGAGGCTGAACAGTTGGGCGGCACTCGCTATGCCAGTCCACTCTTGTATGTTCCTCAGCAAAGATTTTGTCCTACGACCAGCTTTCCTTTTACCAGCGACTTTTCCCATAATTATCAGTTGCAGAAGCTTGTATCTGTCATGCCTAAGTACATGAGCCAGATATCCAACTTTTTTTTTACTAATATTAATGAAATTAAATAATTTTACTAAATTAAATTTATTAGTTAAAAGGAAATTAGAAAGAAAATATAAATATTATTAATAAGTAGGCAGTTGATTACCATCTCAGTCAACCGTCACCACGGAACTTGGTGGTGTACTCCCGTTCTCTATCCGACAACCGTCCAAAACAATTACTGTCAAATAAGTAATACTAAAAGACAATGTCAAGTATGAAGCTTCATTCGTATCATGCGTATTTTACTTTGGTCGAGTACATCGAGTATATAACCAGAAATAAAGACGAAATGTCATATTTGTTTTGAAAACTATTCTGCCAAATCATTACGGTGACAACTGCGCTCCGATTGCCAGCCCGAATTAGAAACAATTGACGGGTGTCGTCAATTGTTTCACTTCAAATCGACCTGTTTAACTTGAGCTTTGCTATAATGGATAAAAATTGCAAAATTACATATTTAATATTTAATTACCGATGAAACGTGATTAGATTTGTTTTGTAATTAGATGTTTTGCTGTTTTTCCCACATCACGGCACGGAACAGTCCCTCATAGTTAAAGATCTTTATTACAATAAATACAGAATATTTTTGGAATATACGGAGACGTATACAGGTCAGTTGTTGGCGCTGCAACATTTCAGTTTTCTAATTTGTGATTTCAGCGCAAACGATTGATATTTAAAAGTGATATAAGGCCCATTTACCTCATTAGTTGTCAGGGATGGATGGCCCTTATTTGGTCTTTTATTTATTTCGAGTATTACTTACATATTTGACAGTAATTGTTTCGGATGGGTGTCGGAGTAGACCCCTTTAAAGGGCCCGAAACGTTGGTTTGTTTGAAAAACAAATATAAGCTATTTAGATCCGAAAAAATAGTTTGTTTTTAACCGACTCCAAAAAGGGGGAGATTCTCAAGACTCAAGAGATTTGTGAACCGAATTTGAAGACTCTTTTGTTGGAAAGAGGGTACCTCAGTATTGGTTCCATTTAAATTTGAAGAAAATATTCCTAAGGGTGGCAAACTAGGGGATGATTCCGGTTGCGCGCACTTTTCGGTAACTAATTTCAATAAAACTTGGCAAATAGGATGGATGTAATTCCACGAATTTTTGAGGTCGGTTTTTTAGCACTCTGTACTAAAATTACAAATCTACACAGTCTCACATACATTTTTATAATCTTGTTTCGATGACTATAACAGTTAAATTCATTATGAGTACCACGTGGACTGGTAATAGAAAACTTTTTAAGTTCTTTGGAATCCTTTTTTAAGTTCCTTTGAACTTCTTTCAAGTCTTTTTCATCTTTCTTAACTTCTTTTATATCTTTTTCTGAGACCTTATCGTCAGTTTCCTTTTGAATTTCTTCCTTAATATCACTCTCCTGTTTGACATGAATATCTTTATTACAATTGCGCTTTTGACACTTTAGAAAACTCCCACATTTCCTGTTAAAAAAAATAAAAGAAAATTATGACAACATAAACGTCAAACTACTGTGAACTGTGTTTGTGTTAGTTACCAGGGATGGATGGCCCTTATTTTGCCTCTATTTTTAGTTATATACTCGATGAGAAGAGCTTTTTTTACCTAAAGTTCGAGGAAAAATGGAGACTGCCTTACGACAATATCTTTTAGGTACTGGATCTTAATCTCTCTGGATACCGCTGTCTCGCTCCGACGACCGAGTCTGCAGCAAGTAAATAATCTTACTGTAGTTGTAAGCCAGAGGCCATTGTTTAATACTCTTTGTTCTTCTTTCTAATTAAGACATAAAAGTCAAGTCAGAAAGTTAAAACGTATGCTTAAAACTGCGGTGTATAGTTTTAGGCTCCCAAAGGTGTGTACATAAATGAACAGTATGTTTGAAATACACATCCTAAGGTCTAACACACTAGCGTCTTTCGAGCGTCAGCGTCTTGCCAACGCATGGACAGCGCCGACACGGCGTCCGCGCGGAGGCGACGCAACGCCAGCTAGGCGTACATCCGACGTCCGGCACTATTCCGCAGTCGCCCTGTACGACGTCGTGTCGACGCTGTAGCCGCTGTGCGTGCGTTGGCAAGACGCTGACGATCAAAACTAAGTTTTTGTTGAAATTTTACGTTTTTCGAATTATCTCGTCGCAAAGTTAAGATAAATATAGTCTACCTACCTATCCCAAATAACTTCAATTTTTAATGTACTTAAGAGATTTCCCGAATCCGGTTAATAATATTGTCGTAAGGCAGTCTCCACTTTCTGTCTCTGTTCCTCGAAAACTACCTATTCCGATTAGTAGTGATAACCGATGTGGTCGAGTATTACTTATTTGACAAGAATTGTTCCGGACGCATGGCAGACGAAGAACGGGAGCAGTCCCCCAGGAAATAAAACTTAGGGCGCTGAACAGAGGAGGTTAGATTACACCACAGGCAAGATCCGGACTTTAAATACGAAGAATAAGCTTATTATTCACTATAGCTTATTATTATATAATCTGTCCATGGAACATACCAACATAATGTACAAATATTATTAAATAAATAAAATCTAATTTAAGTTACGTCAGTACAGAGTGGCAACCTCCCGAACAAGCCGGTTTCCGAAAGGGTTTCAGTACCATAAACCACATCCATACGCTGCGGCAGATTATACAGAAGACCGAGGAGTATAATCGGCCACTTTGCTTAGCGTTTGTGGACTATGAGAAGGCCTTTGATTCGATCGAGACCTGGGCGGTGCTGCAGTCTCTCCAAAGGTGCCAAGTAGACTACAGGTATATCGAGGTGTAACACTATGTCAGTCCGATTACAGGATCAGAGCTCTGATCCTATCCAACTGCAAGGAGGCGTGAAACAGGGAGATGTGATATCTCCGAAACTGTTCACTGCTGCGTTGGAGGATATTTTCTAGCTTCTGGATTGGAAAGGACTTGGCATCAACATCAATGGCGAGTATCTAACACACCTTCGATTTGCCGATGATGTAGTTCTTATGGCTAAGACCTTGGAAGGCCTGAACACAACGCTCGAAGATCATGTCGAATGTCCATGTTGTACCCGCTCCAGTTAAAGTTGGGAGCATTACACTCGAAGTTGTTGACTATTATGTGTACCTGGGGCAGACAGTCCAGTTAGGCAAGCCCAACTTTGAGAAAGAGATCTCTTGTCGAATCCAGCTCGCATGGGCAGCATTCGGGAAACTACAACAAAATCTTCGCATCCAAAATACCTCAGTGCGTGTCTCAAGACGAAAGTCTTTGACCAGTATGTGTTGCCAGTGATCACATATGGATCAGAAACGTCGTCCCTCACTATGGGCCTCATAAGAAGGCTCAATGTCACTCAGCGGGCAATGGAGAGAGCTATGCTCGGTATTTCCCTACGTGATAGAATCATAAATGAGGAAATCCGTAGGAGTACTAAGGTAACCGACATAGTTCGAAGAATTGGTCAGCTGAAGTGGCAGTGGGCGGGGCACATAGCTAGGAGAACTGATGGCCGTTGGAACGGAAAGGTTCTTCAGTGACGACCGCGCACCGGACGACGCTCAGCGGGTAGGCCCCCCACCAGGTGGATCGACGATCTGGTAAAGGTCGCGGGAAGCCGATGGATGCGGGCAGCGCAGGACCGGTCGTCGTGTAGATCGTTGGGGAAGGCCTATGCCCAGCAGTGGGCGTCGCATGGCTGAGTGACGTATGACAGTACAGATTACTAACAAAACCGACCTCAAAAGTCATTCATCCTATAGTCACTACTAAGGCACCTTCTTTCCAACAAAAAAGAGAATCATCAAAATCGGTTCACAAATCCCGGAGAAACCGCGTAACATACATACAAAACAAATACAATCGAATTAGGAACCTCCTCCATTGTTTGTAATCGGTTAATAAAATAGAAAAAAAACTGTTTATATATAAAACAGAAATTTGACATTTTAACTGCCTCTGTGGCCGAACGGTTACCATGCCGGACTGCCACGCAGAGGTCCCAGGTTCGATTCCCGGGCCGGGAGAAATATTTGTATGGCCTACATTTATTTCTCTCGTGAGTTTGGGTGTAATTTGTGGTTGTCTATGTGTGTCCATGGCACCCGCGACACAGGGTTTCCCTAGTGCGGGGCTATGTTGAGTGTGTGCGTTATTATTATTATTAATATCTAAACGAAATTTTATAAACACTAACCGAACACTTACTTAATTGGCGGAGCAGATGTGGTTATTTGCCTAGCTGGTGCAGAATTCACAGTAGCACCTTCTCCGGAGGCAGAGGTGGGTGCAGAGCGAGCCAGATTACTGATACGAGATGCTGATTGGAGTGGATTAGGAGCTTTTCCTTGTAAGAACTGCTTTGTAGAACACAGTTTCATAGTAAGCTGTTTGATGTGCTCTCTTAACTGGTCATTGTGTTTTTTCAATTCTGCTATGCTGGAAATTAAATTATTACCATTATTAGGGTGGTTTTATTAAGCACAACATTTCATCACTGCCACAATCAATTTGATCTAATTATAATGTTATTCCTTATTGTCTTTTTGTGTAGCAAGAGAACTAGGACAATGTCTTCGTGATCCCACCTGCAGGACTATGTACGAGACGGGGCATGACCCCAAATTGGTCTGATAGAGGTAGTCATAATACGCACTGCTATTACTACAGTGTTATAACTTAAAATATGTGAAATTCAAGATTATACCATTGTTGAACGTAAAATTTGATTCTCTATACGTCAATAAAACCGTGGTTAGAATATTGTAAAAAAATAACTAAAAGATATCTACTTAACTCAAAATGAGACACGCTTTATGTGATCTAGTTCTGGCCAAAATAGTCCTTATTAAAAAATATGAAACTATTTTTTCTCTTTTACTTTTAAATATGTATAGTTGGCAAGTAAGGAACAACTTATACATAAATTTACACAGATATTTCACGGGCGAAGCGAGTTAGTTATTAGTTTTTCGTCGATTCTGAGAAAATTTACTTTTAGAATTATTACATTATTGTATTAATAGTGCGAATGTTACACCAATGAATATAACAGAACGCTCAATATATGATGCAGCAGAAGTAATTTCATGTTCCCTCTTATGATACGTAATATGAATATAAATAATCCCATGTAAAATACACAATGTGTTAAAATCAAGATAGATCACAAAACATCTGTTGTACGATTTCTAGCACTGTGTTGTAATAATAATAATAATGCACACACACTTTTCCCCGCACTAGGGAAACCCTGTATTGTGGGTGCTATGGACACACACATAGGCAACCACAAATTACACCCAGGCAAATGTAGGCCACGCAAATATTTCCCAGGACCTCTGCGTGGCAGTCGAGCATGATAACCGTTGGGCCACGGAGGCAGTTGTGGTTAAATTTTTTATTTCTTTTTTTATAATAGCAAGGGATTCCTATCCCTTGCTATTATAAAAAAAGTCGTGCGCCTGCTGGTAAGCTATACGCCAGTCCATAACAGTTGCAGTACCACTCATAGCTTTAAATCGCAAAGACCTGAGGGGCCTGCCACTGCGCATGTCACCCTGGGACATAAGTTGACAAGTCCCATGTGCACCAGCACATGGCAGCACCCTTACCCTTCAAAACCCGAACGCAGTAATGCTCACATTACTGCTTGGTGACAGAAGTAGGTAAGGAGGCAGTACTTCCCTAGACGAACTCTATCACAAGGAGCTCTACTGCTAAATTGATTGTAATTGCTTAGTAGCAATGCAGAGCCAAGACCAACAGGACCGCAGGACTTTCTTAGCTTCAATTATTTAAACCTGTGCTGGCTGAGGTTTATCTTTAACCAGGAGTGATTAATGTATGGCCATCTACTTCATGGCAGAATCTACCGTCTCTGTTTGAAGTTGGACATTACTCACTTATTACCCACACCCGCACCCGCACCCGCACCCGCACCCGCACCCGCACACGCACAAACACACGCACACACGCACACACGCACACACGCACACAAGCACCCAAGCACACAAGCACTCAAGCACACAAGCACACAAGCACACAAGCACACAAGCACACAAGCACACAAGCACACAAGCACACATGCACACTAGCACAGACGCACACGCACACGCACACACACACATACACACACACACACACACACAAAAGGTTTTGTTTTGATGATGTTTCGAAATGTAAAAATTAAACACTACATTAAGTATAACTTAAAAATGTTAAATATGCATTTATAGCTATGGAAGAGCGGTGCCTCCTGACACAGGCTTGATAAGCTTAATAGGAGGTATCATCCACTGTTAATGTAAAGTTAATTGTTTTACTGAAATAAACATTTTATTTATTTTTTATTTATTATCGTTTATACTATTTCAATTACTTTTTTTTTATTACTCAATTCATTGAATGAGATCAAATTTAGTATACAATAAACTTAAAATATAAATTAGTTTTTTGTACTCATGAATTATTTAGTGCTTATATTTATTATGTTTTAGGTACATTTAGCTAAATGTACGAAAAAACTCCTAGGCCAGTCTATCCAACCGGATACAACTGAAATAATCAGTGAATAATGAATAAAGGGGCACTTGGGGGCTTATAATATTAATTTATAATAATAAAATAATTCCACACACTAGATTAACAATACCAATAGAAACTATATAGGTAAAAAAAGATGTGATTCCCACAATTTTTTGCCTCGGAGGCCCTTGGCACAGAACATGTTAAACCACGGTATACTCTGAAACTCCTCGCCAGCATTCGGAGGCTATTCCTGCTCAATGTTAGAACCTCTATATAGTGCATGTTGCTATATACATAACTCAGGCCTTTCGAGTCTTGAATACCATTAGCTTGTATTAGGAGAGCTTTATTATGTTGAATATTCATACTTACGATTCCCTTTGTGCTTCGACAATACGTTTGGTAGAAGCACAGCAGTCTTTGATGTCTTTCCCCACATAGGTTCTCTGTGTGGCGATCATCCGCTGTAGCTTCGTTGATAATATCTTTATCCTCTCAGATTGTTGATTCCCTTTCTTCTTCAGTTCTAGATTGTTCTGAAGTAATGTGTAGTACAGATCTTGTAGCTCGCGCTTGCTTAGCTTCGATGGGCAAATGTGACTCAAGGTTTCTGAGGTGATATTAAATATTTAGTATAATGTAGTGATAATATTTACCAGACTACATACACAAAAGAGAAACAATGAAATCCAGTATGAAAACTTTTTTATGTTGTTATAAATTGTTTTTAATGCTTGTTCTAAATAGATTAGATGGAAGACTTTTTACTTTAGCATAAATAATTTTTATTACAACAAATCCAGTATTTTTTTAAGTCCTGTTTTCATAGTGCCCTATTCACTAAAAATCTCTTTGGTATTGTAAGTTCTTTAAATTTGTACAATTAATAATTACAGGGTCAAGAGCACGTCTAGCCTGACACTTAAGACTTAAATCCAACTCTATGTCGTTATGATAAGAATGGTCCAAAGTACAAAGTGTCAAGCTTGACGTGCTCTTGACTGTACCTACAATACTTCCTACAAGTTGGACTATATCTGCGGCCTAATACTTAGAGTACAAATTGCACATTCTATTTAACTTTAAGGTCGAATTTCCCGCGGAGAAAAGTAAACAATAAAAGTTATAAAACAACAGCTTAATAAGTAATTATGTCGATACAGCTACTTACCACTTTTCCTGTCGATGATTGGCTTCTTTGTGCAACAATTCATTGTCACCAAACCGAAGACACGATACTTTTTCAAATATTTTTCTTGTAAATACTGACATTCGTACTTCAAGTTCGTGCCTCATAAAAAATTTCATCCAAGTACTCCATTATTTCGTAAAGCTGTCTAATTTACCAATATACCTAAACCTCCACTAACACACTGCATAATTTCAAATGGAAATTTGCACGACCAAACGCACAAAATCAGCCGTCAATATGAAAATGCCGCCATGGCAACTGATTGCTGCAGTTATGTCAACATTCAAAAACATCAATACTTTGCTTTAATTTAAGCAAAGTACTCTTACATATAAAGTCCACTTTTGATTGTCGATGACATAGATACAAAACGAAATCAGTAAATATAACACATGTTGAATCATCTGTGACGTCATTGGTGTGCTTGAATGACAAAATTGTTTTTCGTAATGTGATCAATAGTTTTAGCTTATATAATAGCTAATAATAATATTATAGTTAAAACAGCACGTCCTATAATATTATAATCTTATGGCTCAACTGACACTGGCGCAGAGTCGCAGCGTCGCGACGCGTTATGTGTTTCGCATATAGCATATTCATCTCTATTTTCCCATTGTTAAGGTAAAAATTTGTGTTTTGCAAATATGGAATCGAGGGTCGACGCGCGTCGACACTCGGTTACACACGCGACGCTTCGACTCTGCGCCATCGCCAGTATGAGTTGAGCCTATTAGACTGTATTAATGGACGCTTGGAATAAAATTAGCATACCCGTGACATCATACGTGCGCGTACTTCATGCACTTAAGAGGATGGAAAAAAATAAAGGAATAGTCTAAGGTCATGCATGACGAATGTAACTCTTTACCTTAGTCCATAGATGCATGCAAAATTTTCATTTCTGCACAAAGATGTAATAAAATATAAAATAAAGGAAAATTAAAAATTCATAATTACTAATACTAGCATCTTAGACTATGGAAACCAATAGAATAATAATAATAATAACGCACACACTCAACATAGCCCCGCACTAGGGAAACCCTGTGACTCGGGTGCCATGGGCACACATAGACAACCACAAATTACACCCAAACTCACGAGAGAAATAAATGTAGGCCATTCAAATATTTCTCCCGGCCCGGAATCGAACCCTGTATGGTAATCGTTCGTCGTAATCGTAAAAAAAAGTCCGGTATGGTAACCGTTCGGCCACGGAGGCAGATAGAATGTTGAGAATCTAGATAGAATGTTGTGAATTTTTAATGTCTAATTAACTTGAAACCAAATTCGTCTCCTGTTTAATTTCATCTCAGGGTTAAAGTTATTTCAAGTACACGAGAGGTATTTTAAAAATGTATTTTATTTTTTCGATTTTATAGTTTTAAGCTTAGGTTTTAAGGATTAAAAAAAATATCAAAATAATCCTCATTCATTTTATAACTCAACTTCTGCACCTACCCATTGTGAGTATTTATATAAATTTGTTCATATCTTTCTAATTTGTGTTGTTCATTCTAGAAACAATTCTCTAAGATCTTAAAAATAACCATAGGTGACAGTTTTGTTATAAATTATGAGATTATGGCGCATCCTTAGAATAATAACGCAGGCGCATCATTATTTCCCATCCTTTATTTTTTTTTAATATGTTTTCACTCATTTACTTATTTGGTTAGGCAAAGGTTTCACCATACAGCCTCTTCATAAAAATTCTGTTCCTCCTTGTATTGACGGAAAAGGCGACAAGCACCTGTTCTTTAAGTAGTTTATTTCTTTGAGTTTATTTCATAAGTCATGAAGTATATGTTATGTAATTGTATAGGACAGGTAGGGACAGGGTTTACTTCTATGTTTTTCAAAAGGTCTTCTGTTGAGCGCAGGATATCTTCGGGTTTGCTATCTAATTCTAGCCGTAATAATAATAATTATCGACATCAAAGCATACCAACTCCTTGAGTGCTCTATAAAAGTAACATTTATTGATCTTTGGCTAATTGGCTATAGAGCCAACAGCTTATAAAATGTAATAATTAAGGGCCCAACTTTAGAATAGTTGACGACGAATGACCGTGACGGCCATTGACTTACAAATAAATGGACGACGGGTCTAATACAAAAACCACGAAAAAAATGTCCCAAGTCAGCCTATTTAAACGTAGTGACATGTAAAGGAATATGAAAAAGCTAAAACGTTGAATTTAAATTGTAATGTCATCGCAGTACTGTCTAATTTTGCTTGCTTCGCTGTCAGTCGAACAAACGAAGACTAAAGCGTGAATGACGCTCTGTATACGATTTTAACGCCCTATAAGTTCGGACACTTTTTAGCACGGACCCGACGTCCATATAATTGTAAGTCAATGGTGAGGGCGTTCAAATTTATTTTGGAGATAGAGCTAGTCATAAGGCTCTTAAAGGGTGTCTGATGACGTCGTTTCCATGCACCAAACCCCTGGAGGTCATGGTCTGCTGCTTAAAACTAACTCTATATGCCTATAATATTAATATTATCAATTTTCTCTAATAGATTAAAGTTTATTATTATATTCCCAGTGGCAATTCAAGTAAGAACGACCGATCTAAGGGTCGTATTCCAGAAGTCTACTCAATGCTCAAGTCAGGACTTGAGTACGATTTAAAGCACTAGAAATCATACTCAAGTCCTTGCCGTCAGAATCGTATTTCCAGTGCTTGAAATCATACTTAAGTCCTAACTTGGCATTGAGTAGAGTTCTGGAATACGACCCTAAGTTTAGTAAGTTGTCGTAAGAAATAAAATAATATTGTCATATCTCTGTTTACCACCAACAATTTATTGAACAAATACCATTTAAACGTCGATGACGGTTTACATAATCCCTATAATATAACGATTGATTGAAGCTATATGTTGCAGGTGTATAAAGAATAAAAATTATAAACGTTACTTTCAAATTTTTATTCTGAATAGCCTGACAAAGCTCTATTAAAATTTTACAATGTATTTTCTTTCGAGCTAAAGGCTCAATCTCAAATCTACAAAGCTACTTTCTTCTGCCTAGCTGTGGGACTTATTTAAGAATAATAAATGTAACATTACATTCTTGACACATTAGCAGGGAACACGCTTAATACTGAAGGTGGTTTTGTTGTGTGTGTAAGGTGTCTGGTGTTTGGTATATAGCATGTGTGTGTGTGTGTGTTGTGCCGCGTTTATTTCACATACAGATGAACTTATAATTATTGTTCATACGAATATGAATAATTTGCGTATAATTAAAGTTTCAAAAATACACAAGCGTACAAAATACATTAATGTGTACATATAATATACTTACAATCTGTTTAGAAACAAACATTTGTGAATACTCGTTGGTCTATGATTTTTTTTAATTTTAATTTATTGTCACACTGTCATGAACAAATGCTTTTCTGCCTAATTTATTGTAAATCATCAAAATATTTTAATATTATTTTATCTGCACACATATCATAAACTCTCTATAACGTGTTCTTTTACTTTTTTGTTAGAACGAATTTCTTATCAGTGAAAATATTATTGCTATTATTCCATTCAAATTTCGAACATCTCTGAAAAACAAAACATTTGTTTTGTTTTCAATTCTAATATCAGTCGATATGAAGTTTTATTCGAAATGAAATGTCAATAGCAAAACATTTTGACAATTTCACACGTTACTTGATATCGAACGATATGATAGTTGGCGCCGATTCTAGTTTGTCTATGAATTAAAAATAAAAACTACGGTTGTGTAACATGTGTGAGAAAAGTTTTTATTTGCCGCCATTTCGCCAGTCGTGACATGCGGTTCCTGAACACATCACAGAGAGCTTATAATACATAATGTGTGTAGATAAAGCAGTGTATGTAACTGTACACAATTAGACATTAAAACACGAGGGTGGGTTCATGAAATTCGCCTGTCGGCTCGTTTCATAAACCCACACTCGTGTTTTAATGCCTTTCATTATGCAACAGTACTAAAACTACTATTAAGCTTTTATATATAAAACATCGAGTATATAATAACCAGAAATAGAGACAAAATGGCATTTAATTTGTTTGAAAACTATTCTGCCAAATCATTACGGTGACAACTGCACTCCGATGGGCCAGCCCGAATTCGAAACAATTGACAGGTGTCGTCAATTGTTTCACTTCAAATCGACCAGATTAACTTGAGCTATGCTATAATGGATGAAAATTGAAAATTACATATTTAATATTTAATTACCGATGAAAATATGATTCAGTTTTGTTTTGTAATTAGATGTTTTGCTGTTTTTCCCACACCACGGCACGGAACAGTCTCTCATAGTTAGAAATATTATCTTTATTACAATAAATACAGAATATTGTTAGAATATAGGGAGACGTACACACAGGTCAGTTGTTAGCGCTGTACTATTTCAGCTTTCTAATTTGTGATTTCAGTGCAAATGAGAGCTGATATTTAAAAGTGATATAAGGCCCATTTGCCTAATGAGTTGCCAGGGATGAATGGTCCTTATTTCGTCTCTATTTCTGGTTACATAGGTACTCGATGATATAAAACGACATAAAGTTACATTCACTAGTAGACTGTCACATTAGTGTGCAGAGAACCGGATGAATACCTAATTCCGTTACAAAGTCCAAGATCTTTCTAGTCGCTACAGTTTACGCAGCAGACAGCTAACTTAATTAGGCATAGGCTCTTGTTAATTAACTATAACAGAAAGGGAAATGTTTGTCAAGGCTGTGGTACAGTATTGGGGGTCGTTACAGCTCACGCTCCGTAAGTAGGTATTAATCGGCTATTGCGTTAACGGATTTTACGGGCTGTTTTTTATAGGAAGTGTAAGTCGAACTACTTCATTGAGTGGGTAAGTAATTACCTAAACAGTACATTAAATTTGCTAAAAACTTTATTTTGAACGCCGCGATATATAGTACAAAATTATTTAAGTTGACGATTTGTATAAATTGGGCACAGGGTGTTGCGGCATGCCGAGCACCGCTCGCGACCCTGCAAACAGTCGCTTGCCAACATCATTAAATTAATAATTGCACCATTTGTTTTTAATTTCATATTTTTACAGTATCAAAGGCGTTTTAGGTAGTTCGTTTTTTTTCTGACTTTCATGTGATAGAAGCACTTTTGACGTATTGTCACAATATGGTAGGTGTAATAAATATAATACACCAAGAATTCAAATTGTGCTAATTTCACAAAATGTTCTGTCTGTCAACTGATAGTCGAAGCTGTGAAGATAAACTTACAAGAGGTAATCAGAATAGAGTTTAACAGTTTACTACACCGACAAAAGCCTAGATCTTAGATTAAGTTTTTAAGAAGACGACAGGAAAGCCAAGTGAGTGAAACAGAGTTATTACGTTCCTTTTTTTAAATATTTATGTCTAGTATATAAGACTCACGAGATTTAGGTACTATAATACATGGAAAGATAGCGAACGACGGAAAGTTCCAGGCTTCCCTGGAGGAAAGAGGATGGTAAAAGCCGAATGATACGAAATAGACCCATATGGAGTGTTTTGGTAGAAACATATGTGGGGCAAATTAGTAGATTAATATTCACGATGTCATATTGCAATGACAACTTGAGCACAGTATAATAAGTATGGTACTTAACTCCAAATAAATGTCTTGTATGTGTGCGCGCCCGCCCCGCGTGCGGTGTACCCAACGCACACGTTTTACAATTATAATATTTCGTATAATCTTGCGATGCATTCGGGTTGCGTAGCGCTGGCCGTCTCACGCGCCTTTCATTCACGCACATATCAGCCATATTGCTTTATTTGGGGTTACCATACTTGTCTATTGAACTATGGCTTGAGTTTGGAACTAAAGAGATTCTGAACGCAAAATTCCATTTGTTTACATAACAATTGTCTCTTTAAAAAAAATGCCAATAAATACATACTTAAGCTACTATAATAATTAAACCGAATACTGGATAACACATAGAATACGTAATTATAATACAAGGGGCCAAGGAAAGATTCTTTTTGTAAGTTTGTGCCCCATCTTTATTAGGAATTATTCACTATCTCCAATTTTCAACATACCTACCCATTAAACCAAACAATAGGTGCTCTTCTTGACCCCTTTACACAGTATACTATTCAATCACAAGCCTTACTAACTTATTAATCTGAAAAACTAAGGAGGAAAATAAAAATAATTTAATTATTTTTCCGTTTAAATTAAATGGCTTCTAATTTACGTAAATAGCGTAATATCTAAGTTGTTTATAACAACAAAATATTGGTGCATACTATACATGGTGTTCTATTCTTTGTAGTCTTTAAATCTTTCCTATGGTGTCCCTTACTGGGCGCCATTAATTTGCAGCCACAAGCTAGCTAGATACCTACTATCAGTAATACTGACAAATATAATACATACGGTGTCCCTAGCAAAAAAAAAATATAGAGCCAATTTCGGTTATCCAAGCCAACCATTGCAAGTCAAGGTTACTCCCCACTTGTGAAGACATGTGTCTTTAGCACTTCAAATTTTAATAATCTTTGTTTCGTACGTAAGTAAATAAGACTTGAAATGACTTGACAAAACTACTCATTTGTAAGGCAGATCTCTTTGTAAACAAAACGTGTAAGTGCATATTTATTATTTACAATGTTACAAACTCAGAACTCATCGGTCGTATCAGAGTTGTTAATGCTGATTTTTTGACCTTATCAATGATTTTGTGATATCAATCTTCAACACTAACAATCAATCTTCCTAGTTTAATCATTCTGAAATTTTATCGAAGTTATATTTCAAAAACACAGCAGAGCTGCTTTTTCGGCCTACAGTTTGTTTCTGGAACGTTTGTAAATTATTCTAGCATGCCTTTTAGGTCATTTCACGACTCGAACATTCGTAATGAACATCAGCATCGATGAATGCAGATGCGGATGCCGATATTCGCAACAACACTGATTCATACTAGTGTTGTAAAAAACTCGAGTCCGGGAGTCTATATTTTAGGACTCGACTCTAATTTACAAGACTCGATGCATAAAGACAAAGACTCTACTGCTCGATATATATCGAGTCTATCGAGTTTCCCAATAGATCGAGTCTATTGGGAACTCGATTTCGACGTTAGTGCTCGAGTCCATTTACGTAATGAGTCACGCTCGAGTCTGGTAAATACTTTCTGAGTACTCTCTACATAGTTCGTTGAGAGACTGAGCTTTTTGATGAAGTCAATAGTAAGTGACCACGTCTCAGAGCCGTAGGTCACCGCTGGCAACACGTACTGCCCGAAAACGATTGTCTTCAAGGACTGCGTATTGCGGAAGAGTAGACGTTATGAAGTTTCCCGAAAGCTGCCCATCCGAATTGGATACAGAAATGCGTAGACTTGCGAGATTATGTTCTAGGTGGCGTAAAAGTTGTCATCCTATCGGAAGATGCTATAATTTTTGCAAATGACGGTGAATGTCAGTTCTACTTTGATATTTGTTAAGTAAACAGAGACAAAACACACATGAATGGCTATACTCTTCAAGAACGCGAAATAATTGTGGAGGGGTCGAACGTCGAGCGCTACAGAGACATGCTCAACGACTTTCTCCAGCTCAACTGGACGAATTGGTACTGCAAAACATGTGGTACCAACAGGATGGAGCAATCGCGCGTACTGCACGACTCACAACCGAAATTCTGAGGCCTGCGTTTCCCGGTCGCCTAATCTCTCGTTTTGGTGATTTTTTCTGGCCGGCAAGATCGCCTGATTTAACCGTTCTAGACTTCTTTTTGTGGGGTTGTCAACAAGCCTCAGGACTCAGATCCATCAGGAATGCGGGAACCTATCGCCGGAAGTTCTGGCAAGAGTGATGGAAAATGCCATAAATCGGGCCGATATATAATTTTTTTGTACTTAATGAAAAAAAAAATTGACATCAAATAAACACAATCCAAAAGCAAAATTAAAGATTTCCATTTATTAAAAAAATTACAGTCAAAGAGCACTTGGTAACAACTTTTGCGTCACCTGTTATATACCACTATGTAGTTAAGTAAACAGGCAGCTATGTAAATACCACCGTGACAGCCAAAAAGGCCAAGTTTCAGGGATATAGCTATTCTTTTCTACTTGCTAAATCAAACAGCAACCAGAAACAACCTTTGTGAAAATTTATTACATAGTGTAATCTGTATATCAGAAACAAATAAATTTGTTTTCGATATGGCCGCTTGGCCACTCCCTCTGGACAGGAAACCAAAATATGTGAAAAAGTTTGGGGATGGCCTTGCAGTGGGCTACCATAGACAATTAATATTTTTGTAATATCTAGCTAGCTTATTATGATCTATGACTCATAGTTTTTTCAAAGTGAATTCTATGCGTAATTTATACGATTTATACGTCCTTAACAAATAAAAAAAATATTAATAAGTATTTCATAGCTATTTAACATCACATTTGTATAAAAACAGCCATTTTCGGGTAAACAAGTGCAATTTCCCAAGTATAATAACATTTTCTGCACTTCATTTTCAAGCAAAATGACATTGTCAAAAATAAATTAGGATTAATATCTTATATTGGCAAAAACTAGCTAATTTTTACGTCCATAAATATTATAATGTATATAACCTAGACTAACACTTCAAGTTATCATTTAAAAAGGCTCCATCTACATTGGTCGATACGAAAAACGCGTCTTACGCAACGTTTGTAAATTATGAGAGATTTATTGATTTAATTTTCAATCGACCAATTTAAAAGACCTCTATGTAAATAGGTAAATTTTTCCACGTGATTATCGCCTTAGGATTCTAGAAACATCTTTATTTTATAGGCCAATACAATATTTTAAAAATACATGGACAAAAATACATTTTAATATGCCTATATGATCCTATAGATCGAATTCTAGGTATATTTGGCAAACTACAATATTATTACAGTCACACAATTATTGTCGCGATTAACTACACATTTAGCTCAGATAACTAACCTATTAGTACAATCGGGTAAAAAAGCGTTTCAGTTATCATCTACTTTATATAAAACCTGGCAGATGAATTGTAGGAACAATGTATTTTAGCCAAGCTGTAAAAACAACAAATCATTTTGTCGCCAACAAAATTGCGTGGGATATGTAAAAGTTTTTTAATTACAATTTGAATTTTTATCGTATTATAAAACACAAAAACAATAGATTCAAAAATGCAATATTTTATTTTATCGCATTATATAACGGTGTTTTTTTACTCATGTAAGGACTTTAGTCTGTCAATTATAATACATAAACCACAAAGGCGTATAGTATTCGTTACTGAACTAAAAACTTTTTGTCTGTTTCAAAATATGAACGTCGAATTTTTGATAATTTGAAAGAGTCTCCTTAAACGCATCACTGTGTTCCTAAAAAGGATGATGTCACTATATTTGTGAAATTATTCAAATTTAAAATAATTTTATTTCTCTAACAATTTCTCAAAATGTTACATAACAGATACAAAGGCGTAACCATTTGGCAAAAAGTACTATTTAAAAACAATATAAATAAAATGATCTTTCAATTGGTTATGTTTCATTATATTAATTTACTCGTACAAAAATTATTGTATGCAATCATCGGTTAAAATATCAAAGAGTTCTGAATCGGGGTCCAAAGTCGGTTTGCCAAACCGGGGCAACCGCTCTTACCAACTGTGCCACAAATCTAAAAGCCTACTTCCGATCTCCGTCCGAAACAATTGCTGTCAAATAAGTAATACTCGACCAAATTAAAAAACGCATTATGCGAATGAAGCTTCATACGTGACATTGTTTATTGATTTGGTCGAATATTACTTGACAGCAATTGCTTCAGACGGATGTCGGTAGAAGAATGGGAGTAGATCCCCTTGTCCCTTGTCAGCTGACCTTAAGAATTTCTCTATGTGATTGTTGCAGGTCTTTGTATTGTGTTTAAACAGATACTTTTTCGCGCCATCTATGAGAAACATGATATTCTATCTCAAAGTTGATCTTTAATAAGATTGTTGAACACTTGTAAGATTCACTTTTTGACCCGACAGTACTATAACATTACGAAATAGGAAGTAGACGATTTCAAGATCGTTATTCTACATTACAAATTTAAAACTTAGCGTAGGCTAAGTCGGGGAACATTTATCACTGTTACAGGATACGTCGTATCTATTACCATCTCTATGATCTCATAGCAGTCTTGAGTAACACCGGTTAATACTCGTGAAAATATTCTTCACAAAACTGCTTCTTCTTCATTTTACCATGCTGACATTGTTTTATAAATTTCACTCTATTTATAATGTAACTTTCATTGACACTTATATCAGCAATTTTCTTTCTAAATCTAAACTCATTTTTCTATACGACCACTACATTGTTTACGTAGGATTTTGATCCTATATTAGGTACTAATATATATTTATTGCCGATTCTTTGATCATTACCAATCAAACGATTTTTTCAATTCATCCAATTAAATACTGAGAATTTTTTTTTATAGAGAACTTCAAGACAAGGGAAAGCATTTAGTAAGCCTCTTCCAAGAACTTAATAGTCAAGAAATAATAAATCAATAAGCTTAGCCTTTGTTCTGAGCTGCTTGTCTACGAAGGTCAGACCTGATGGCCGCAGTGATACCAGTACCGACGGCAAGTATAGCGCAGAGGGTAAGATTTGCCCAGCGATCATGAACTGTATTGAGCATCCATTCGTAGAGGAGAGTGAGGACGATGCCGAAAATCTGAAAAAAAAAAACAGACAAAAACTTTCAATTCAACCGCATTTTGCTCTTTTTTGTGTGTGTGATTACTTCGGCATTTGTAAACCGATTTAGATGATTCTTTTTTTTATTGAAACGAGGCTACCTCAGTATTGGTCCCATTTGAATTTGAAGAAAATATTCCACCTCTAAGGGTGGCAAACTAGGGGATAAATCCGATTTCGCGAATTTTCCAGTAACCGATATAAATAAAACTGGGCAAACAGATGTCATTCCACGAACTTCAGAGGTAGGTTTTTTTTATGACAGGTACTTACCAAATGATGGGACCGAATAAGTCGAGCGTCATTTTTTTTTATTAAAAATAAGTGCGCATTTGATCTCCATTTCACCTAATGATAAGTGATGATGAGGTCGGCGATGTAGCATGGATATCTAAGGGTCGTATTCTAGAACTCTACTCAATGCTCAAGTCAGGATTGCAATGGAAACACAAACACAGGAAATACGACCCTAATGGCAGGTACTTGAGTATGATTTCGAGTGCTTTAAACCATACTCAAATCCTGACCTGAGCATTGAGTAGAGTTCTAGAATACGACCCTAAATAATGCCTATTCGCTCTCGCCTTAAAAAGGTCCAAGTTATAGCATTCGGGGAATAAGTCCGCAGGCAGGGAATCCCACTCTCTAGCCGCTCGCCATATCAATGTGGAAGCGAAACGCTTCGAGCGAATCCTGGGAATATCCACAACATAGGGATGGAATCCCAGCCCACGTCTAGTCCTCCGATGATGGAAAGGGGAAGGCGGAATCAAATTAAGCAATTCCATCGCACACTCTCCGTGATATATCCTGTAGAATACCGATAAGCAGACAACTTATGGCGGTGTTCAAGGCTCTGCAGCTTCGCCTTAACTAATTCCGAATCACCTATAAGCCTCTTGGCTTGGTCTGGTGACAAGTGACACGCCTGACCGACATTTTTAATGAAGTTGAGTTATTAACATATCTATGTATCTCGAATCTGCGACACGAGTCACAAAACACCTCTAATCAGTTTTTATATGTATTTAGTTTCAGTTTAATTGTTAGGCAAAATCAACTTGATTGAAATGTTTAAAAGAATAAAAAATAACATTTTGGTGCTAATATCTCAAAAAGTTTCCTAAATGCAAATGCGTTGTTAATAACCATAGGTCGGAAAAAGGTGTTCCACAATTTCAGTTCCAAAGCTAGGGAGGGGCGGAGAGTCTCGTTATTTTTTTATTTTCTATTTTGGTAAAAGATCTGTTATCTACTGCATTACTTACATGGCATTATTAGAATTATTTTAAAATCCAACTTCGACTTCCTAGATCAGTAGTTTGTCCTGTGATGCAATAAAACCGTTTCCGGAAATCCAGAATACGACAAAAGTAATTAATTAATATTTGGTGGTTTTAATAACTATATCAATACATGTATCTATGTATGTGGAATACCTTTTTTCCGACCATTGCCTATAACAAGGAGGGCAGAATAGGTTAGGTTACGTTACTTGACAGTTTGTTTCTGGACGGATAGACAGTATTTTGGCAAAGAAAAGCCGAGAAGGCACGGCAAAATGCAACTTTAGGCAGAAACAGTCGTAAAGCATGGGAATAAGTTTTACCTGGACAACAGCATTGAGAATTCCCGAAGTAGTGCCTTCCGGTTCGGGGTATGTGACTTCAGATGCAAACTCGAACCCTACAGGCAGGTATCCGGTCATGAAGAATCTGAAACATAACAGTACATTGATATATACTCCTTCTTGTATACGCTGAATCTTCCACCTAGCTTGTCTGTCTATGATATTCCGTGAATAAACTATAGTAGGTACCCCACAACTTCAGTTTCAAATACTGTTGCTAATATTAGGTACAATGTCTACTCTCTGAGCGTAGGGTTGTCACGTTACTTTTTTTATGACATCAAGTGACGGGACGAACAACCTGGTATCATAAAAAAGTTTCCAATTTATATTTTAAGATTTAATTGCCCGATATTGCGTTTGAAGAGTAAAGAAGGCCTTCATCCAAAAACGCAATTACGATGTTTTCAAATGAAGCAGACGAATTATATCCCTTACCCAAGAAGAATGGAGCTTAAATAAACAACGCCAATATATCCACAGTTCAGGGTAAAGGTGAAGATGACCATTCCGATACAGGAAGCCGCATACACCGCCAGGGTTGTCTCTTTAAATCTATGTGTCTTGTCCAGCACCAGCCCACAAAGCACCGATCCTGCCATACCGGCTACCACAATGACTAAGCCGATGCGTCCAGCGTCTTGGTTTGCACCCTGAAATTTTCATATTTGATCATTGTATGGTAATTAATTTTTGATATTACCTACCCAATCTACATCACCATCTATCTATCTATACGGGAGATTTTAGTATTAAAAAAATGAATAATTCTGCAGACTTACAACTGTGATAAATTAGGTACTTGTCGAATGACGAATGGAATGAAAATGAAATTAAGCTGGTTCCTGCAGTGTGTTAAAGCCCGGCTGCGAACCCCTGGATTTTTAGGTTGTTTATCGTGGGAAAGTTGTGATATGTAATATATATTTTTATTTTTATCTATGCCGTTAAAGATTTAAGTATTTTAAATAGGTATTTTTATTACCACAATATCCATAAAAAGGCCCATTACGGTTTGTTTAAATTTAGATAATATTACTTAAACCTTTATAATATTTAAAGATTACTTTCTGGATAAGATAATACTCACTGGATAATAGGTCAAAATAAGTTGATTCAAAAGCGTAGAGATGGCGTAGAAGACACCGACGTTGAGGCCGTACGAGATGAGCAAAAGAATGTAGTTCCTGTTGGTCAATAGCTTCTTGATGGACTGCAGGAAGTTGGAGTCCAGGCTGTTACCAAGGTCCGCGGCCGCTGACGGTGGGGTCGGTGGAGCTGCCTTGAAGACTGCAATAGATAATTATTATGGCTGTCAGATGCAATTTCTTTTTAAATTTTATTATAACGAACTTGCATATCGACATGCCCCTTGCATAATTTAAATTATATATTATAATTAATAAATATTTTAGAATGTGCGAGGGAATTGCACGATTTAGACCCGCCTTTCCATTACGTGATGACGTAGGTTAGGGTTCCACCTCTATGTTGTCGCTTTTCTAAGGATACGCATGAAGCGTGTCGCCTCAACATCTATATGGCGAACGGCTATGGAGTGGAATTCCCTGCCCGCAGACTTGTTCCCTGTATAACTTGGGTCTCTTCCAGTAAAAGTAAATAGGCATTATTTAGGTGTGCATGCTCCATTGTCATTGATCTCATCATGTCTTTCCATCTGATTAAATATTTTTTTAATAAAAAAGAAGTGGTAGGTGCGTTTACCAAGATTTTTAAAACATTTTTTTTTATCAGGCAATAATGTCAGAACAAAAAACTAATATGGTTTTCTCAGCATCAATGTAAAAATTTCTTTTGCAACATAAAAACACGAGTTGGTTTGTTTGCATCGTTTTCGTAATTTTTAACCGATTTCAAAACATTTATGAACCGATTTAGATGATTCTTTTTTTGCTGGAAAAGGGGTGCCTCAGTAGACGTCCCATTCAAATTTGAAAATATTACTCCACCTCTACGGGTGGCAATTTGGGGATGGATTTCACCCACGTTATGTTAATCGATTTCAATAAAACGTGGCAAATATATGAAATTCCATAAACTTTTGAGGTCGGTTTTTTTTTCTAAGAAAGTTATGATTATTATTTGTAATATTAAATCCATTACTTGCAGAATTATTGAAGTTTCAATTTACTCTTTCTAGTTTTCCTGTAAAGTTGGTGTTTTGGATAATACATCTTATTTAGTGGGGCCGCCGATATGGACATAAAAAGATATTCAGAAGAATTTTGAGAATAACTTCTACTTATTAATTAACGGATTATCAACATCCATCTGCCCTTGTTCCATTATTTGTGGTTGGCGCAGCATGTCTTATTCTTCCATTCATCTCTATCACCCGTCATCTCACTGTTCACCCTCTTCATACATATATCAACTTTCACGCAATCCATCCATCATTCGTCTTCCTTTGCCCTTAAAGCCGTCCACATCCTCATTTAGTATCTTCTGAGTAATGTGACTTCATCGTTTAACGAACAAAAGGTTTATAAGTATAGTTACCAATTAATAGATACTATTTAGAATTCTAACTAAAACATTTACAGGTAGAATAGTATCTCGAATTCTGCTAAGTTTTCGTTCCTGTCAGTCTATGAAAATAATGGAGTGCTTACACCGAATCGACTGCCTTCTCTTCAGTAAGCGAATTCGGCTGACGAAATAGTCGATACGCTGTTTACACTGAGTCGATTGCCATCTCTTTAACAAACGATTTTAACTGACGAATGCGGCACAGTTAACGCGCAGTTTAGGTACATCGAATCGACTGCCGTCTCTTTAGCAAGCGAATATAGCTGACGAAAGCGGAGCATTCCGCGCGTTGTTTATATCGAGTCGACTGGCGCCTCTTCGGCAAGCGAATTCGGCTGATGAAAGCGGAGAAGTCGAAACACTGTTTACACCGAGTCAACTACCGCCTTCGCCGAAATCACCAAGATATTATAAATACAAGTTTACGCAAAGAGACACATATATTATAAATATTAAACAAACTAATCGGGTAATAAGTATTCTCCGGTCCCTAGCACGCGCACGGTGGTGATGGAATGCGGCAGTCGACACGTTGAAATTTGTGTGGTTGACGCCTGACAGTGTTTACACCTAGTCGACGAGGTCGATTTCGGATGGTTGCCAAACGCTTGGCTCAATTTACATTACCACGGATTGGAATGGAAGGCAAATTTTAGAGCCACAGCATAACGACGTTTATGTCAATTGTCTAACGTACAAATTAGATACAAGCCAAAAACAAGTCGCGCGTCTTCCGGAAAATGCTCATTATGGTATGTAGATACAATTTTTTTACACTGAGTAGCTTGCCGTCTTCGGCGGCAAGCGAAGGCGACCTCTCGACGTGGTGTAAATGCGCAACGTAGCGCTGGGCGATATTGTCTGAATAACTTACATAGGACGATAAGAACGAAGATAACACTGGTGAGTCCAGCCACGATGTAGAACATTCTCTGGAGGTCAGTGGCGATCTCCTGGATGGTGCCATTGGCCCCCACTAACATCGGGGGAAGGACGAAGCCGAGAGCCACTCCTAGCTGTGGAAGATAGACATTGGTTTAAGCAAAAAGGCCTAATATAATATTACCTTACATTACATCGGCACCCGGCGGAAGAAACAGAAATAAAAATTGTTGGACACATCCAATTTTCACCGATTGTTATTATTTCATACATATTAATTGTCAGCGCACGTCGCGGGATCCGAGGGGCGGTCCCCTCACCTCCTAAAGTGTAGGCTCGCGTTGAAATGTGATGACACCTGTATGTTAAAAACGGTTCACAGTTCTTGCAAAACGCATAAAGTACCCAACCCGTATTGGCGACTACTTCTTGGGGCAAAACCTGTACGAGAAACAAAATTACTTGGTTGGACACTAAAAGATTTTTACACGTGCAGCCTTTGGACCAACTATACGCACAGAGCCATCAGCGCCCTGCGAGTATAATATAACAATGGTTTTCGTATGTTGTTGGGGCTGCCGCGGTTCTGCAGCGCGTCAGGCATGTTAGCACAGGCTCGCACTGATGACTTTTATGCCATTATGCGCAAAAAGTCGGCCTCACTGCTCTGCAGACTGCGAGCCAGCTCCAACCCAATACTGAAAACCATTGCCAGGAGAATTGACTCTCCCTTTATGCGGCAACTTTTTTCGCCTCGTTTTTAATTGCTTCAAATGTTCATGTTTTTATTTTAAATTTAATTTAATAATGTTTAGATTTAGTGCCTACTAACATAATTTTTAAGAATAAAATTGTTACTAACACATGTGGACTAAATAATTGTCTGAAATAAATATATTATTATTATTAATAAAATTAAAGGAAAACACACCTACAATATATTAATCACGCAGCTTTTCCATAAAATGTCTACGGGTTATAATTATTAACTGATTTAATAGCAGTAGAGTACATTGTAAATGATTTCGTCCATGGAAGTACTGCCACTATTTCTGCCGCCAAGCAGTAAAACAGTAATGGAAGCATTACTGCGTTCGGGTTTTCAAGGGTAGGTGTGCTGGTGAAATTACAGGCACATGGGACTTGTCAACTTATGTCTCAGGGTGACGAGTGCAGTGGCAGTTCTCCTCAGATCTTTGTGATTTACAGTTCTGAGTGGCACTGCAATTGATTTATTGAACCTTCGCGCCAGATCTACGTCCCGTCAGCGACGTTTGCGCTCCAGGAGCTCTACTCTAGTTCTCCGTCCAACATTGGTCCGAAACAAATTACCTACTGTCAAATAAGTAATACTCGATCAAATTTTTTTTATAATATCAAGTAACGGGACGAACAAGAATGCGTGGTAATCGGCACGTCTGTGCTTAAGAAGTTCCTGTCACCCATCATACGAATAATGATATATTGCGTCAATTCATTGTGATAACTAATATCATAAAAAAATAAAAACCTGAGTTACGGAACAAACCAGCAGACTTTACGAATTTTTCTATGTGCTTGTTGCTGATCTCGTTTTTGGTTTTTAACGACTTTTTACCGTAGCGCCATCTGCGAGAAATCTATGAAAGCAAGCAGTATTTTTCTTTGAGTTCGATCCTTGTATTAAAAATTATAACAAACTAGTTGAGTAAATTCATAAGAATTAGTTGAAAATCATGGTATTAAAACATCGTGATATCCAATTAACTTCATATAATCTACGCGTATTTAAATCTTTATTTACTTAAAATAAAACCTTTCACGAAAAGATAAAGTGTAATTAAATAGGTGCTCGCTCTGAGTATTGGGTATGATAATGCGAGTTCATGAGTGGATTATTCTCACGGGTAAACAAAGTGTTCCTTCATGATATTGCATGAATAAAAAGACTTAAACATAATATGAACATTTTCCCTAGGAATTTTTATTTACAATTTCATAAACCATATCATAGAGGCGCTCTTTTTAGAATCAAAATTCTATTGTGTAAGGTACTCGCTGAAAAATTTCATACAGTTCTATACACAGAACTATAACGAGTATCAAAAAACGAACGTCGTATATTTGATAATTAAGATATCAATCAATAAAATTCGAATTCGGCTGGATCGAAGGAATTTTTTTCTGAGTGTTCGATCTTTGTATTAATAATTATAACGACCTAGTGGAGTAATTTCACATAAAAATATTCAATTCAATAAAAATTTTAATACAATGAATAGCGACATCTCTAGCCGGGACTGGTAGCTGTAAAGGTATCTAACTGTACGACAAAACATCATAGATTTCTCATAGATGGCGCTACCATATCAATTAGGAAGCTGCTCTAATGCTATACCGCCTCCTGGTTGGTTAAATAGATATATTATTATTAATAGATATATTATGATTATATTATTTCAGTATGTATATCATAATATATATAAACAAATACATATATAATGATGATGAAGACAAGAATTGTTTGCATCATCTGGTTAGAAGTTAGTACAAGTTGAATGAAAGCGATTCTAGCGCCAAAATTAAATGTATCTGACATGGAATTTCTTGCGGAGTACGAAATAGAATAGTAAAAAATGATATTAAAAAGTGAAATCTTTAGAAAATTGAGATAGTACTAATTGCTATTCGGTAACTACTCTAGCAAACCATAAAGTTTTTAATGCCTGGGTCTGTCATTTAAAAAAAATAAACAACTTCAAAAATACGTCACGACAATCGTGTGTGTTATTGTTTGGGCTGGTGATTTCGGTGTTTATTTATAGAAAACATACCGAAAGTAGCGTTTTTTAAGTTTACCCTGAATATAAATGTTTATAAACTATACTTTAAGGAGTAATTTCATGGCAAACGTTAGAACCACTGAAACGGAATATTATCATATTTATCCAAGTACACCAAAAATTTCATTAGTGCTTATTAAGTGCAGGATTTGCGGTGTATTACTGCATTTTATTTGAGATGTTTTTGTTGGTAGTACGGAGGGTATTTATTTAGCAATACAGAATAATAATTTTTAATTATAAAAACTTGTATTTAAACTGAATCCTTTTCTATTTTGCGAAACCAAATATCCGCCATTTTGCGGTAGAAGGAGCGCATCGCGTGAGCGGGTAAGGAAGTGCTGCCACTTCCCTAGAAGAACTCTTTCACGAGGAGCTCTACTGCTTCTAATTTATACAAAAAACATGAATGAATTTGGATGAAAAAATACCAATATCAAATTGTAATTTTCCTAACGATTGTTTTGCGATTTAAAATGGATTTTGAGGTGAAGGACACACCAATTTGCAATTAATCTTTGTTCATTGCTGCTACAAAGGGCCATTTGCAAGATTTATGAGACTATCCCTGCCCATTAATTGGGATAACATTAAAATTCATATGATCCCATAACAAATTTAAGTCGTTAGGTCTATAGGGGTTTCCATGACGTATGTTTATAAATAACACTATAAATCCATGTAACAAATATACGTACATAGTCGGCTATAAGCATCTACGATCACTTTGTAGTTCTATTTAAGACTTTCCTTTGAATGATGACTGCTTTGACTAAATTAAGATTATGTGAGATAAACAACTCAGCTATCTATAAGTGAGATGACTTGTGGAAACGGTCAACTTTGTGGCCTTAGACAAATGAGACTTGCTCCCCAAGATTTTATTATAAAAGATGATAAGAGGAAAAGGAAGGCCCGGGCCTATAATAATTTTTTAATACAGTTGCTCAAAACGTGGTATTTTTCGCACTACAAATCGTGCGAAAAGTTGGATTTCTCGCACTAGTGCTTTTTACTATTCCATTTTTTTTTAATTTACTGTTGTTTCAAATCTTAAGTACAGAACTAAAGAAGTTGTATATTTATTTAATATTTATGTGCTTTGTGACGTACATAAGTCATTCGTCATTAAAACTTATATTTATTTACAAATACTATATAATGAACGTATCGAGTGGAGGTCCACAGTCTCCTACTACCTACCCTACCTACGCCTACCCCTGAATGGGTGACAGGCAAGATTTTTATGTATATATTTATTTGTTCTATGTATTACAGATAAATTGTATCTCACTACCGTGCACGGGTTCCTAAAGAAGTTTAAACAAAAGTACCAGGACTTCATAATAAGAAAAGTGGTTACAGACCGATATTACAGAAAATAAACAAAAACAGCACGTTAGAACTAGATTTCCATACACTTTTAACTAATGGTTGCAGTGGTTGTATTTCATTATTTTAATTTACTAGCAGAAAATGAGTTTTGTTTAAATACTGTTTTATTTTACTTTCAATGTAGTTTTCTCGCAAATGTATTAAAAAACGTCGTTTGATACACGTGCGGATTTGTCATTTTCACTGGTCTCGAGTCTTGACCCTCGCCTCTGGCTCGGGCCAAGATGCCTCGAGACTCGTGAATAATGACTAACTTTCCGCACTTGTATCAAAAATAACTATTAATAGTAATCGACGTGAAATTTCAGAATAAGGAAATGAATGTGATTTGTGATTTATCGGCACATCCTCTCGTTTTAGGAATTTTCATGGGAGTGATGACGGATGGAACAAACGTAAGAGTAGTGAAGGAAAAGTAAGTGGCCACAAAAAAGAAAAGTGGATGATAAAAATTGAGGAGGTCAGCATCGCTTCTGCCTCCAGCTAATTGGAATGGACCGGTCGTTCAATTAGAACTTCGACAGATAAATTGAATTCATGACCAAAAATGCAGCAAGGAAGCTTGCTGGTGGTTGGCTTGGAAGGTGAGGCGTTATTTTACACCGGAACAGTTGCTTCAGGTGTATCAAGCACAAGTCCGGTCGTGCATGGAGTACTGCTGCCACTATTTGGGATGGCTCTGCTACATACCAATTCTGAATTCAATTGAGAAGCGTGCCAAGAGGCTTAGGTGAATCAGAATTAGTAGAAGCGAAGCTGCAGAGCCTTGGACACCGCCGTAAATTTTGTATAAGCCTGCTTATGGGTATTTTACAGGATACATCAGGGAGAGTGTGCGATGGAATTACACGTTTTAACTCCACCTTCCCCTTTCCATCATCGAGGGACTTGACATAGCCTTGGGTTCCACCCGCATG